TTGGCTGGTGGCTGGCGGCTCTTCGTTATCATCCTTCTAGCTTGTCACGTCTGTGCTGCAGGTCACAATCCTGGTCGAGGTGGACAGCAGACTGCAACGGTGGCGCAGAAGAGGTCCTTTCGACGTGCATGTGGCAGGGCTCTTCGCAATGATACTGTTCAGCCAGGACTTGGAGGCACCTGGTATCGAGGCCGGTGGCACACCGTGCGTGATCTCCAGGCAAGGCGGTTTGCATCATCACAGGGTGTCTTCAGCAGGTCCAGGGAGCGCAGAATTCCAGTAGGTGATCGTCTTGTGCACATGCTCACGCTCAATGCGGGAGGGCTAAGCACTGCGGCTTATGACGAGCTGCTTATCTGGCTGCATCAACCTCAGTGCGCTCGCTACTCGATTGTGGTAATAGAAGAGACCTGGTGGAAACAGGACTCTATGTACAGTGATCAGAGCTGGAACTTTGTGCACTCGGCCGGGAGCACAGGCAGTCAGGGCAAGAACACGGGCATCCTCGTCATGATTAGGAAATCCTTTGTGCCAGAGGGCTGCATCAAACATCGAGTGGTTGTTCCTGGGCGAGTTCTCCACGTGAGGCTCGAGCAGCAGAAGAATTTTCATCTGGTATGTGTCTATCAGCATGCATGGTCACATCAGGTTGCACAGGAAAGCATGCTGGCACGCCGTGAACGAGTGTGGGATGCCATTCGCCAAGTTGTTCAAGGGGTGCCCATTCGTGACCATTGCTACATCTTAGGCGACATGAACACACCATGCGTGACTAGGGCTGGGCATTGCGGTGCCGGGGTCTTGGAACAGCCGAACCCTCCACCTGACGTGGAAACCTTCATGGGTCTTCTCGAGGCTCTTGATCTATGTATTTTAAATTCGTGGTCGGCTCGCTCAAAGTCGGCGACTTATGTGCATACCAGGGGCAAGAGTCAGATTGACTTTGTGATCACTCGGCGCCTCGATGCACATCCCATCTCTAGGCGGGCATGTCCACTTCCAGATGCGGGGATATTCGAATGGCGCGGTGGGGGGCGACACTTGCCACTTTCAGTCTGTGTACCAGCCCGCCGTTTCATGCCAGATCGCTCTGCGACTGCACAGGTGCAAACTACCTTTGATCTTGCTCGTCTTCGTGATGCTGTCGGGGCTGGCTCAGCAGAGGCCGTTGCTTTTAGTGAAGAGGTGAACCGATCATTGGATGGAGCTCGGATTGACACGCCACAGGCCCTCAATGAGCATGTGATGCCCATCTTGGCGCGGCACTTTCCTAAGACTCTAGGACAGGCACGGGCTCGGCCGTGGCAGCATCATGCACTTCAGGCTCGGTATCCGCGTCTATGGCAGCTGCGTCGAGCCCTTGGCGTGGGTCCTCCACCTGGCCTGCACCGTCTTTCTGGACATGTTCTTAGGTACTGGCGTCTTCTTGTGATCTACCAACGGGAGGCGAGGGAGGCTAAGCGCGCTAGTCGTGCGCTTCGCAAACAACACCTACGTGATGAGCTCAGGCTAGCAGAGAACGCCTATCGGCGGGGAGATCAGAAAGGGCTCTTCGAGGTTATGCGGAGGCTAGCGCCCAAGCAGCGCAAGGCGAAAGTTCAGCTGCGCGGTGATGATGGCCGGATTCTTTCGAATGCTGAGGAGCTGAGTGTCTTCACTGAGTATTGCCGGGGACTCTTCTCACAAGGGCAATGTGTTGCCACATCCATTCTTCTTGGGCAGCCTTTTAGGTTGGAGGCGGTCGCTCTCGAACAGCACATGTGCAAGCTCTCCATCTACAAGTCGGTTCCGGCGCACACCTTACCACCTGCTGTGTGGAAACTGTGCCGACAGGCACTGGCGCCTCTTCTTGTCCAGTTTGCTGACAAGGCCTGGCAACTTCGACCGAGTGCCCCTTCCCTTTGGTGTGATTCCTGGCTGGTGTGGCTCAACAAGGTTGGAAAGCAAGGTCGCAGCCCGGACGAGTTACGTCCCATTGCCCTACAGGACACGGGGGGCAAGATCGTCACGAAACACCTTGCATCGCTTCTCAGGCCGAGTGTTGTTCAGGCTCTCCGGGAATACCCCCAATTCGCCTATTATCCAGGTCGATGTTTGGCCTCGGCTTTGGCAAGGGTGACGGCCCACTGTGACCGCATCAGGCACATGCTTAAAGAGCATCGCTCAGATCTT